GGTTTTACGGCACTTGCCAGCGATCAGCTGCAGCGTGTGGCGGGTTTTCTTTCTTCCCTGTCCTTTTTCTCTCTAATCCCTCGCCACAGCCAGTTTAGCATCAGAAATGCTCTTGTATTCGTTGCTCACCTGTGTCAAATGGGTAAGATTTAAACACCTCCATCACTGAAATCAGAAGTAGGAGCAGCTTCTTCCTTACTAACAACCTGACAAAGTGCTTTCCTGGACAAACTTCTGCCAAAGGTTTATACGCTTCTGCATGATACTTGCAAATAAATACCTGCAGAAACTCCAATTACTTGGCAAATTCTGGGGTTATGCTTGTAATAAGCTTCAGCCTGCAATGAGTATAACAGGTATATTAAAAAATCTGTGCTACTTTGGGTGTATATTGTATACAATTCAGTGTGTGACACACTTTACGGACTGGAAGATTTTCAAACTACGTATTTCTCACTCTGCATCATGATTTCTGCTAGATGGGCTACTAACACATTAGCAACAGTGAGAATTACACTTGCAATAGGAGAAGAGTATTGTTGACTTCTCATATTTTTTAAAAGCGTAGCCACTGGCTCAATGGTTTCCTTGTAATAATTAAAAACATACGACCCCTGCCAAAGGCTTTGGTATGTAAGTGTTATGTGTGCGTTCATTTGCAAGCCAATCATGAAAATGATAAAAAAGAGCTGCTGTTCTCAAGATAACTATAAAGAATAATGGACTTAGCCTGAGGACAAGGCAAAGCAGCCTTTTATTATATTCGTGAAATGAATCTGCGTGTATCTGAAAGGGATTTTAGTAATACCATTTTTTCTTTCAAAATAAGATGTGTTATCTTAAAAGTAAGAAAAATCCACAGAAATGTTCTTTTTTTCAACTCTGAAAGAGACTCTAATTCAGCTCTCAAAACTCAACATACTGAAAAGAGAACTGATCTCCTGACTTCCTGATGATTATTCAGCCTAGTGAGGAATTTTTGCATATCTGAATTATATCTCATGCCTCAGGCGGCAAGTTGCTCTGCAGTTGGTAAGAGACTTGTAGAGAGATAATGGCACAATGCAGATCTTTGTGATTTCTGAAGATCTTGTAATAACTTTGATACTGCTCTAAACACTGCCTTTGAAAGGGCAAGAGGAAACCTCAAAAGCTGCATAACGATTCTTCGTTAAACACAACCGAATGCCATTTCAAGGAATGAAACAAATAAAGCAGCAGTTCAGCAGCACACAAATACAGGTTGTAGTCATGCCTGAGTTAAAGTGCATCATTTATAATGACTTCAGTCTCCACGCCTGCATACAAAGACTGATGTTTTCATACATTTTGCATCCATGTTTATTTGGGGAATGTAATTTTTTTTTTTTTTTGAAGCTTTGTGGTTTATCACAAATGCTGGGAGTGATTGCCTAGCAGCGGCTGGGCTGACAAATCACCCAGGACCTCTCCTTGTCTCGGACCAGGTTAATCAACAGGCAGCTCAGGCCCTAATACTTCAGTGCACTCGCTCAGAGTTACGGATATGTGCACAGAGTTTCCCAGGCTGAGATCCAGAAATAGGGAAGGTGAGTGACATAAAGTGAGCATGGGGACTGTGACAAGGGCCAGTAAGAATGCCTTGAAAAATACCACTGCTTCTTAACAACCTGTTGTATTGCTCTAGTCAAAACCCGACCTCTTCTGCACCCGCTTCCTTGGCTGAGGACGCTTTCCATGCCTGCTGGGGCGAGCGCTACGTGCAAGATGCTCCACGGCCGGTGCCAGCTGAGGCTGACGCAGCCGAAGCCGCTGCGCCCGGTCCCCCTCGCTGCTCCGTAGGCAGCACTGACCCCGCACTGACCGGGTTTCGGCTTTGCACCCACCCCGGCACCAATGCCGGCTGCATTTTTGAGGGAAGTCAGGCTTCCCTGCCAGCCTGGCCGGGAGGGACAGACCTGGGGAGGGTGGTGCATGCCAGCGACGCAGCGTGGTGAGATGCTGCGCCTCCGGAGCCCTGCTTCCCTGGACAGGGGGCTGGGGAGGCTGCTGGACAAGGATTTTTAGATAGCCCAAGAGTAGCTGATTTCCCTTGGTGACAGAGCAATAGGACTTCAGCAGGTCCATCTGCTCTCCAGTTACTTTCTGCTTGCAGTCCGTGCCCCGTTGCTCTGCTGCCCTGGCACCAAGCAGCGAGGCGAGAGCTGCCTCCATCCCCACGTCTCCTTCACTTCTCATCTCTGTGCATCAACTCAGCAGTACCCACAAGAAGCCTCTCTTTACAGAGACCAAAACCAAATCACAATACGAGAAATACTCGGTCTGAAAACTATAAAAAAAAAAAAGTCTTATACTAAACACAATCAATTGCCAAACTGACAACTATCGCCTTGGCTGGCACCATCTCTAAAGCTGCCTGTACCCGACTCCAGCAGCGCAAAGCGGCACTTGTGTTCATGGGATCCCTCCGTGCCACGGCACTCCAGCGCAGCGCAGCACACTTCACCAATCCTGTGCTTAAGGGATGGAGAAGTTATTCTGTCCTGTAGAACAGAATGGATTCCCGACTTATGTAAATAAGCAGACAAACATTTATTAAAAGGTTGCACTTACTAATCTGAGTGTTAGTAGTTTTGTCTGATTAATAATTAAAGCAAGTCATTAATCTTTAATTGTTTTAGTGTAGTGTTCTGTTTAATGTTCTATTTCAAATCACTATTTTTAAAGCAAAGCAAGAGACTACACACTTTTCAGGAGAAAGGACATCAAAGGGTGACATTTGTGTATTTAAGAAGTAGTTGTTTTCAGTATCTTATTTTTATTCTTGCTTCTGGCAAAATAAATAAAAAGTCAGGCCAAAACCCAGTCACTTTTGACTGCACTTAAGCTGAGGAACTGGTTTCAAGTTGAGTTCTGCTGACCTTGCCCGAAAAATTTTCATTTAAGACAAGGGGAGATTTGTGGGCACGAAGCAGCGGAGTCACAACTCCCCGCGTCCTTTCCCTCGCTCCAAGCATCGAGAAGAAGCAGTTTTATTTTTAAACGAGCTGGGCCATAGAAACGTCCTTCTGAATTTCTGAACTGTAAGCACGTGACGAGCCGTTGCCAGCAAGCGTGATGCTCAGCGCATTTATCGTGCTCAATGCACAGCAGCCCGCGCTCACTTTAATTCGCTCTAGTTATTGGTAATAGCTAGGATTGTTCTATTTGCTATTTGTTTATTTGCACCTCTCATAGCTGTAGGGACAAATTATTCTCCGTGTTTTAAATATTTATTGCTATTCAAAATTAGTTTTGGTGTCATGCAAGCGCCCTAGATCCTGGGCCAAATTTGAGCTGCGGAGGCCTGGGGAAGCCCGGGCAGAACTGGGCCCAGCCTCTTGCCCTGCTTTTTAAAAGCAATTTCCCTCTGCAAACAGAGCTGAAATCAACCCCATCTTTTTTTGCCTTTTTTTTTTTCCACAAAACAGAACAATCTACTCACAAAAAGAAATGAACAGTTCAGGTTTCAAGGACTTTCGAACTAGGACTCTGGGATACAACAGAAACAAGAACAGGGGCTGCAGAGCTCCACCATCCCTTCCGCAGAGACGGGCGCTTGAGCTGAGCCTTTGCCTTGTTACATGTCACCACAGGGCATAAACGAGAGACAAACACGACTTCTGTCCCACCGGATCGTTTGTTACACATTAACAAAAAAATAGAAAATAAATTGGAAAAAAAAAAGAAAACCAGTCCTCCCATCAGGGCATAAAACAGAAGATATGAAAAACAAAAATGAACGTTAGTTTAGTTATAAATGTGCTTGTTAGGTGTGTTAAATTAATGGCCAAATCACCAACGTTTTTTCACCCAAAATGAGCTGCAGTTCTTTTGGAAAACAAGAAACTTTCTCTTTACACAGGCTAGCTTCTCCTCTAAAACTGTCTCCTAAGGAGATACTATATTTCTATAAGGTATTTCTAATCTACACTCTATTCTAAGGAAGGAAGAAAAGGAGATTACGTAGACAGCACAAATTAACTCCTTAAGTATTAATGCATCTCCATTTTCAGCCTGAAGGAGTACATATCTTAAGGAGCTATGAAAAAAGAAAACAAAATAAATATAACTCAACAGTCCTAGCAATTTATAATGCATATACAATTGTTCACCTGCGTCCTTTTGATTCTCTATATGAAAGAGAGAAAGCAACAAGGAGAGAAAAGAGAGAAACAAGAACAGATATGCAGGATTAATGAGCAAGTGGACCGCACAGCCCCCCAGTTATGCGTGATATATGACATTTGAAAAGAAGAAAAGTCGCCCCGTCTCGCCCCCCGCCCCCCGAAAGCATGGGGTTACCAAAAGAAGCTCCTTTCACGGAGGTGAAAGAAAACGCTGCACAAATAGAAAACCAGAGAGGGCGAGCTCTGAGGACACAGAGGGGATCTCCAAGTGACAGCGGGGCTGGGATGTCCCCTCCAGAGCTCGGTGCAAAGGAGTAAGTAAAAATCGTCGAGGAGGAGAGCAAGTAAAGCGCATCCTTCCGCTCGAGAGCTAACAGACAGGAGACACGTAAGATCTGATGTACAGAGAAAGGACAGCCTTATACGATCTTATACACAGGACTGGGTAAAGGGATGGCTTTTTCCGAGTGTCCTTTATCTGACCTCTAGCTCACTTCTCCCCGATGTGGCTGCTACCTTTTGATTGTGTACCAGTGACAAGCACTTTACAAATTGGGGTTACACAGAAGCAAAGTAAAAATGCATTCAGGTCACGGACATAAAGAAGAACTGAAAAAACTTACAGACTATCTGAGTTTATCACAAACAGATGGGTTAATTGTCTAACCTGGTTTAGGCTGATAAAAAGTGACTGGACTTCTCACACTGGGTTTCACAGACAGAAGCAACAGACAAGCCAATGCTAAAAGACTTGAAGCAAGGAGAGTGAGTTGGTTTGGATCTGGACTTTCTTGAGGTAATGAAAACAGAAAGAGTGAGGACAGCATGGAGAGGAGGGTGGTAGGTACTCACGAATGGTTAAATCCATCACTTGAGAGGCCAAGCAGAAGACAGGATGCTCATACATTTCTCTCTTTTTCCCTATAAAAGAGGATTTGGGCATGCAAGAGGCTTAGGTCAGAGGTAAAGAGGTTATAGGCTATAGGTCAGAGGAAAACTTTATATTAGGTTAAAAGGAAAGTAGCCGTAGAGTATTTTGGGATACACACAGAATAAAAGGAAAAAAGAAAAAAAGAAAAAAAAAGGAGGGTTAAAATTGGAGATCTACTGGATTAACCATTCAGCATGCCCATGAGTCACAAGAGAGGCCGTGACCATGACTCTAGAGGTTTGCTCTGAACTATTTGCAAGAATATAATGATCAAAACGTCATGAATAGAGGGAAATAGAATTCCATCGGTTTAAGGCTTCGAGATACTAAGGATTTCAGCCTTCAGTATCTAAGGCTTTCACAGGTATTTCTTCATAAGCATAGCCTCGAGCACTGCTGCCACTGATTTGGTTTTGCATCTCTGACAAAACTCTCTCAAACATGTGGCTGTTCAAACGTCAGCTTTTAAAAAGCAAGATTTCAAAGCCATGTAGGGCGTGCAGGAACGCACCTCACCGAGGCAAATTTGTTGTTTGCTCTTCTAAGGAAGTATTTGAACACGTAGTGGACTATGCTCATGAGAGAAAACCTGATGCATGCAGCTGGCGGATGTTGGGTTGTTCGAATTAACAATCCCAGCATGCTTGGAAATTGGTGTTACAACCACTTTTATAGAGATAGTATCAAAAAGTGGCTGTGGCCAATCACGGATAAAGGAGGAGAAAAGCAGAAGAGAGCAGGTAGTGTGGAATGAACTATTTCTCTGAAAAGGTAGCTGGAAAAAAAAAGGTTTGTTGCTTCAAAGTATTCCCAGACCTAAAAGTCACAGTGCGAAAAAGAGGGCAGGTAATTAACACAACCAAGAAGAATTGAGGCACAAAAGGAAAAGTACACACTAACTGTTCTACTTTGGAAATGAATGCATTTTTACTTACAGATCATAAAGTTTGTTTTTGCATAGATTGATCTGAAAGAAGAGAGCAAATCTTACCAACGAGTTAGTGATATTTACACAGAGAACCTAAGGGAGCCAGCCCTGGGTAGAAGCATCTATCAACAGAAAAGCTGCTTTTGATTCTCAGTCCTTCTCCATCCTTGTCAAGTATATTTAAAGATTGCATTTTACAGAATACACCAATTAAAATGTCCTGTGAAATTGAGTACTTCGATAAATTGCCTGATAATACAGTGCTTATGAAACCTTCGTTCCTTCTCTATTTTTGTCACTCATTACCAAGTCAAGAGTTGATAAACATCCTTTTAGTGCCCAATTCTTAAGTGTTTCTCACTGGATGCATAACAATGAATTCATTACCACTGGTACACAATTTGCATCGTTAGACAGAAAAAAAAATGGAAAAAGAGAGGACATGTCATGTACAGAACCTGGACAATTTATCATATAATAACCCAATTTTTCATGTAAACAAGAACTAAGAACAAATCAGAGGGATTTTTGGGTGTTTTTTTCTCCTCTCAATATTGTCCTAGAGGCATACAATGATAATCTCAGCTGTGGGAAAGCTTCACATCACACATGACAGAAACCCAGAGTCTAAAGCAGAACATACTATTCATCTGGAACATACAGGTTTAAGCAATTGGGAACTTGGATGAAGTTGGGTAGGAGTTTCAAGTTGTGAATAGCAGCCAACAAGGTACCAACGTAAACTGATTAACATGTAAAGAACGACTGGATTGTAGAGCTTCAGCTAACACGTACCCTCTAGCAAGATTTAAAATGTCTTTTTGATGGCTACATGTGTCTCTGGTCACTGGTTATTATTCTCCCATAACTTAAAAGGTCAATAATATCAGCTATGCTGGATTTAGAGTGACAAGAAAGAAATCTGATGCAAGTATGGGATCACTGATCAATGACTGCTATGCAAACTGCAAAGACAATGAAACACTCCCAGAAAAAAGACATTTTAAATTGGCTACAAATGCTTAAGCATAGATTAAACAGTTTTTCAGCTTCTTATTTTTCATTTGTTTCCTGAACTCCACTGTCACAAGCAATTAGCTGCACTATACCTTCAGCTGCAAAGATGACATCCCAAGTATTTCTCAATTTGTTTTTTAAAACCACGACATGAGTCTGAATACTACACCACTGGCCAAATGCACTAACGATCAGAAAAAAAACCCCTACAGTTCCTTTTAACTGTTTCCTCTCTGTTTTCCAGAAAAAGAAATGTTTTGCATAGCTTCCATTCTTAACTGCTTCCGAAGCCAACACCACAAAAATGATTCAGAATCACATCAGTTTTATTGACAAGTGAATAAATAGCAAATGAGCTTCTTTTAAATAGCTCCCAGCCACAGTTGCCGCCTAGAAATATAACAAAATTTTAATTTCACAAAGAAAGAGCCTTACCTTCAATTTTGGCATACTCTGATAGTCGAGTATAATTGACTAGAGCTGCTTGCTCCAAGCATTTACGGATGACTGTTTTTACCTCCTCTTGAGGGACCGGAGTAACTATGTCTTTCATCAGAACCTTGACACAAGAAAATCTGATTTGTTGTGGCATCGGGCACACAGAACTGCTTTTCTCCAAGCCCAGCACATAGATCTATTCCTACACTAGCACTGCGTGGCTCTTGGGGTATGCGTACAATATGCAGGATCCACTACAAGGTCACCTTGGTCAGCTTGAGACGTGGTACCTACCCCTGCCGTTATTATTCCTCTTCTGTATCTATACCCTATGGCATGCCCTGAAATCTGTGCTTCTGATTTTTTAGGGCATGACATTAAGATCTATCGCAACCTCCCCAGTGCCAGGCAATATTACGCTCTTCGCGGGCTCTGCTGATTGACTTGGGTTTAGGTCTGGGCTTGGCCATACTGCATGTCAGCAGAGGTGAGAAGGATGTCGGAGCAGCAGGAAGGCAGAAATAGGGATGGGGAGGATGACGGTGAGCAGGTTTCCTATGCCCAAGGGGAATGAGCCTGCCTTGAGATGGGAATTTCACCGGACAGCAGCCAGGCATTGCTTACAAGGGTCTGCGGTGGAGATGCTTGCCAGCGAGATCCTCCACTATCAACACAGACGCAGGCTGTGCTGCCTTTAGCAGCCAGGCTACACGCTGCCCTCCGAGCTGCAGCAGGAGAGATAACAGCCCCACCTAATAGCCCACATTTCAATACTAACTATGATTAATTACACGTCCTATGCAAAAACAACAGTTCCTCAAGCTCTTCTAGATGGAAAGATAGATGAATACAGGTAATTTTAACTACTCTCTGTTATTCTTATGCTTACCCTTTCCAGCAGCGATAGAGTAGCTTTTAGTGCACCTTCTGGACGGCCAAATGGAAAGCAGTACCTAGAAAAATCACATCACGTTAACATCAGATCAGGTGCATGCGAATAAGCCTTTCCAGTGCTATGAAGATGCTTTCCTAAATATGCCCAAGCAATGATCCAGTCTCTCTGCCTGGAATGAGCAGTTTTTCTACAAGGTAATTTTCTGAAAGGGTTTGATGGTGTGGACATTAAGGCAGCAAAACAGAATACGGGGTATTAATAAGCTGATAGTTTTAGCAGCTTATCAAATCTGGGTGTCACCTGGAGAGTTTTTAGATCTCATAGGAGAGAGTTAAATATCATCTTCTTGTAAAAATGTAAAAAAAAAGCCCCTCTGGAAAGGATATTTACTTCCAGCTGGAGACCTGGCGATGCACCAGGCTGTAGGTAACCGGCTGAACCAGCCACCGTCCCTGGCGAGTGGCAGCTCCAAGGGGCTCCCGCAGGGACCCCGCGTGGGAATCTCATCACCCGCCTGCGTGCGAACGTGCACCACCCGCCCAGGACCCGGCTGGTGCGCAGGGGGCAATTCATCCCTTTTTGCGGGGGCAGTATCCATCCTTTCTATACTGTGACACCCCTGCAGAAAGCCCTGCCTGTCTGAATACCAGGGAGAAGGGAAAATAAATGGGTAATAACCGAGCAGAGGGGAATGGAGAAATAAGAGGACAAGGATTTTTTTGTTGTTGTTAAATTTTAGAAAAAATCCACAGCATTACCATGCCTATGGGAGCAAGATGTTTTGAAATACCCTTTAAAGGTTATATATTTAAAATCACTCTCCAGATACAAGCATGCTACAGTGCAAGCTTCACTGCCCTGCGTAGGTCTGTGCCACCTATGCAAAATTCCCGTGTGCATTCAAAACCTGCCTTTTGGCTTTGCTGCTTATAGGAGGGAGCTGGGAGGAAATCAGTCCTCTCGCATTCAGCCTGGGCTCTCTGCCTTTACCTAAAATGCGTGATCTGATTCTCCAGAAGCAAACGAAGCCGCTCCTTGATCTCTTCAAAACGCTCTTTCTCGTCAACGGTCACAGTTCCTATCCCGTCAGGCCTGGGGGAGAAATGCCATGAATGACTCAGACTCCATCTCGGCACCCTGGTAACTCATCCCCACAGCACACAGCACGCTGCCCTTTCGGAAAGGGACGTCACCAACTATGAGACCCGGGTCGGAGGATATGCCACACCGAGAGACGGGTGGTCACGGCAGCACAACTGCCGAGGTATCAACAATAAAGAAAGAAAGAAATATCCTCTCTCAGAGTGATAATCTAGATGTAGACGCCCCCCCCCCCCCCCCAAAAAATGTGATAGAGAAGTTGGAAAAAGCAGAATCCCCTTTTAAATTAGGTACGTGAGAGGGAGCGCAATGCCAGCTCTCATTGCAGGATTGGGCCCATTGCTGGCAAAATAGGGACTTGATTTCTGCAGGAAAATTCAACTGCTAATTTAACACAATTCACAGTATAAAAGAATATCAACAATAGGCGTATATACAAACAGAATATAAAATCCTGCACTCCTTCATAACCGCTGAATCACCCCATTATAGTGATTTCTTGAAGTGAACCATCTTCAATGTATTCTGCCAAAATGTGCCTAGAGAGCGACACGCATTTTGTATTTGAAAATGCAATGCTTTTTCAGTCATTTAATTTTAATTTCTAAAAATTAACACATTGATACAATTTGTCAAAGATTTTCTCGGACTATGTACTACACTCTTGTATTTCAGGAGTGCACAGGAGAACATTGTGAGACACCCAGGTCCTGCTGCCCTGGGGCGTTTCTCGTCTTTCACGGAGCACAGTGTACAGGCAAACCCTGCTGAAGCTCTCCCGGGGCTGGACGACGCGGTGGTCCCTGTGCTCTTCCACCTCGTACCTCTGCCCATGCCAACCCACCCGAGAGCCGAAAGCAGCGATCCCCTCCTGCTCCCCCACGGCAAAACACGCCGTGCAGCAGAATCCCGGGCGAGAGGAGAGAGCGAGTCTAATCCATCCTCCAAAGGAATCGGCCAGGCAGACAATCAGCGGCACTGCTTCCCATTGCCGGCGAGCAAAGTCTACGGATTTGTGTACTCCTGGGCAACTCTGCTGGCACAGGCGCTCTTTAGGCAATGTAAGACGTCTTAAAATTGAACAAATGTTCTTACTTAAAGGCCTCCTCCAGTGTTCAGCTTAAGCTGCATAAATCCGCAGTACTAGGCTGGTTTGGCTATACAAAAGACTTGGCAAGGGATTACAAAGCTTCTAATGAACCTCCTGTCAGGGGTTAATTGGTTGGCTTTATTTTCCTCTTAAAGAATCAAAGGCCCTAAACTTAAAAAAAAAAAAAAAGCTATCAAAAATTAAAAGCTATAAAATCTGTACAATCACTTCTCCTTGACCCTGCATTTAGTAAGCTCTTAATATCATAAATACGAGCTCTGATATTCCAACACAGGTGAATAAACCATTAAAACATTTTGGAAGAGGAACTAACAAACCTTACATGATATTTACTGCAAAATTTTAAAGCTAAATATATATTAAATAAAACTTGCAATGTGGACACAGAAAAAGACTGGAATACCAAAGGATGTATTTAAATTTAAACAGCATTTAATCAGAAATCTTTTCTTGATTATTTGCCAAATTCAGTTGTGTATTAAGGAAAAAAAAAAAGGAAAAAAGATTTAGGCTGAAACTTGGATAAAATGTCTCAGCTGGGGAACACATTTCATAAACAATTTTGGAACTATGGATCTGGTCTCATTAGTACCTAATTAGGACTAGTTATTTTGAAGAAATGAGCAAGCCACAAAAAAAACAAATTAGATATCAAGCAAAAATTAATGTTTGAACATGCTTAATATATTTTTATTCCAAAGTTCCATAAAATATTTAATATTCAGACAGAGATGTTCATGCCTTTTGTGATGCTGTGCACCCCACAGCGCCTGGTTTGCCCCCAAGCAGAAGAGCAGATAATTCAAGGCAGACCGCAATAAACGCCATACATTAAGGGGCAGGGTTGAAGGCCTCGTTTGACTTTTGGCATTCGGTTCCCCCCCCGTACCCATAACAGCTCACAGAGTGTCACTAGGTTAATTGTATCAGCACTGACAAACGAGGTAGGAAAAGCTGCCTGCCCTGGCCGTGATTTGCTGATGGGCTGGAAATGGTCTGAAAGTTATGTTACCCTTTGCTGGGTCAATAACCTCAACCGGCGAGATTTAATGGCAGGATCTGACAGCTCGGGTTGGGTCGCAGCCCTTTCACATGAATCGCAGTTTCTCACTGTATTCAAAGGGCTTCGGTTTTGCCAGAACTGGTTATTTAGCGCTCACCATGTAATGACTCGTGTCGGACACCCAAAACGGGCTGCCATGACGGCATCAGTCGTGTCCCAGCTGGGCAGTGGTGGCTCTGGAAGCACCGCTTTGAAAGCACTGACCCACACGAAGACAAAAGGTGGGCTCTGGAGAGCGAACCTCTGGCCAACGCAGCTCTTGCCCAAGTCACAACGCCTCAAGGGATGCCAACCCAACCACCGAGGCGCACGTAGACCACGTAGGCTTAACCCGTGGTCACCTGCTGGTCTTTGCCTTTCTCGGGGTCTTTGTGAGCCAGGAGGACATCAAACCCGGTGGCTCCGGACACCGCTCCCTCCATGCAGGGCCTGCCGCGCGGTGGAAACGCACGCCGCTCTCGCGTATCATGCACTGCAAACTTGAGACAATCTACAGGTCAGCTGTAGCCATTTTTGGAGCAGCGCGGATGTCTGGAAGGGCCTGCCAACCGAGAGCCATCACCACGGCAAGGACTCCCTTTCTCACCCAGCTGTAGACTATATTGCATCTGACATGATGAGCATCTCTTGAATCTACCTTTCAAATTTTCGGCAAACCATTTTCTCACTGTCCTTCACAAAGTTGACATTTTCGGCAGCACGATAGGAAAGATGTCATGTCGGCTGCTTTTCAAGTTGTTGTCACAGTGGTTAGCACCAGTTCTGTCATCTTTGCTTTCCTCACAATCCCCCATCTTGAGCCATGTCACAAATAATAATACTTCCAATGTTTTTGTCAAATTTCAAATACTATAACCCAGCTGCACATCTTCGGATTTACTAGTTATGTTAATCTTTGTTGCTCATCTTCCCAGAAGCTGAAGCATTAGGAACTCATTAATTAGTGACAAATGCAAGATATACATAGAACTGGAAAAACACTACCCAAAGCCTTGCACTTAATTTATTAGCTCGATAATTTTTAAACCTAATTAAATATTCAAGTCAAATATACTTTGAAAATGTAATCTTTTTGAGGGAACATATTTATTTTCCCTTTTGCAAGAACACAAAGGGTACATAGCTTAGCATTGCTATAATTTAAGATTCACTTCTGTGCTCTAGACAATTCCAGTACATGGCTGATGGGACTGAAAAAAATCCCCAGGAGAAGCTCAAGTCGCTCCAGCTCGTTTCGATGCTTATCGGCAATTTGTTTTCAGCAAAGGTCTCCAGCTCAACTTTGACATTTGCTATTTGATCTCATGGACAGAAGCACCGACTCCTCCAGCGAGCAGCATTTCTGCAGCCAGGCTAGCTAAAATGCAGCTGGAGGAAATGGATGTTCTCACATGGAATCCACAACCACATCGTTATTACACTGAAGCAGTGATAGAGAATGAGAGGAGAGCAAAAGGATGAAAAAAAGTTCTGTGTGTACATGGTATATACTGAGGCACAAAGGACAAAATGAGTTTGGGTCTATGAATTCAGGTCAACAAACAACATAAACGTCTCCATCTGTGCGGAGACACAATTTCATTCCATTCTCTATAGCTCCTGCTCACGGACACTTGAGGTGTATGGCAAAAGTTGTGGGCAGAGAGGGAAGCAGAAGGGCAAAAAAGGCAAGAAAAATAAATAAGGAAAATTTTAATTATAAGTAAACAAGTTTCAGATCACTCCTTCTGCTGCAGATTCACTATGTTGGCTCCAAACTAGTAAATTCCCACTGTAAATATTTCACGTGAAAAGTTTTAAATGCCGCTTTCCTAACCCTCCCCTTGTTTTTAAGTTTTAAGCCACGAAAACAACAACATCAACAAAGCAGGTGGTGAAATTAAAAAAAAAGGGTTGCAATTTAAACAGCAAAAATGATAGTCCTTGTTTAGCTTAGATGGTTTGTGCAAATTCCGGGGTTAATTATAAATTATAATTAGGACCTGTGATCCTAAGGCCACTGCTTTATTCTACAAGCCCCGCCTCCCCCCATGCCCTTTTCTAATTATACCCAGTGCCCCCAGGGCTAGTTATGCTGCTAAAACAAATATATCAAAATGATTTTTTAACAAAGAGTAATATATGAAGCAATAGCATGCATTTGTATGCAATTATAAATATACAGTATAGCTCCAGTGGGTTAATCTCTTTGACATAAGCCTGTATGAAATACCATGGCGGCTTATAAATGAAAAGACATATCATCTTTTACACCTTTTATGTTTAACTTGTCTACACTTTTTTTACTGGGAAAAATATTGCTTACACGTAGCAAACAGATCTTTGCACGCACTGTGAGCCCTGGCATACAGAGCCAAGGAAAAAAAAACAATGTCAAAAACTGATGCAAATAATTTGATTTTTTAAGTAACAACTCAAATATAAAACACGTGCTGCCTTCAGCTCCCTTGCTGGTTGCCAGGTGCAGCACATATGAGCTATACAGTAAACATCGATGATTAGTGCCTTGGACGGCATGTGTCAGGGTAGGCTTTCAAAGGATTCCTCACAGGAAGACTTGCCTGCGCGAAGTCCCACCGGTTGCACGGGGGCTGGCTCTGGGGACGCGGGCAGGACCACAGCTGCCTGCCTGCTGCCTCCGACATCTCCCCCAGCAAATCTGACCTGAAAGAGCCCACCTGTTTAGACCCCTTGAAAAAAAGCTTATTCAGCAAACATCGATTTTCCCCGACTCCCCTTTCTTCTGGGAATTCACACCGTGCGCGAAATGTGGGTTGAGAGCCCTTTGTTCAGCCCAGCCCTCCGCCCGCTCTCCCG